GAACCCAGAAGTCCCCATCAAAGGTGACATAGAGGATGAAGAGTATTTGGAGCTTTCTTCCAAAATACCCATGTCATCGGCAGAACATCTACTGATCTTCAAAACGCTGTTAAAAGCGAAGGCTAGTAGTGATGCAATGGTAAATTTATTGAATGCAAAAGTGAAAAAAAGTTAATATACTTTTGTGATTATATTAATATTTATTTATTTACATATATAGAAGCGGATACTGGTAAAGGCCTGTCTCTTATACACATCTAGATGTGTATAAGAGACAGCATATATAGAAGCGGATACTGGTAAAGGCAAAGGGCCATAAAGGTAGTGTGGACGGCGTCCTTCGTTCAATTTATCTCCTTCAAAGTAATCCCCTCCCGCTGCAATACACTTATGCCAATGAATTTTTCAGTCATCATAGCACTTGGAAGAATCCTCATTTTGATGGCCATCAGAGAGTTCTTCAATTCAGCTTTTATATCCTCAATTGAGTCAAAACAGTGTCCTGGGATTGGTCGTGTGAATTTGCTGAATAGCCAGAAGTTACACGAAGGTAAATCAGGCGAATGTGGTGGTTGCGGCACGTTATTACTTGAAAATGTGGCGAAATGATCACTAATAACCAATGCAGTATGAGATGGTGCACTATCGCACTCCTGTGTTCAATAAATTCAGACATAGTAAAAATCGAAGAATTTACTTTTAGAGCCTCACAAAACGACGCGTATCTCAATTCTTCCTCTTCTTTAGTGGCATTGCAACCAAGATTCGCACGCACCTCTGTGCAGCAAAAAACGAACGCCATCAAATACAAGGAAGGCTCGACGTCGAGAAGCTGCGATCACAACAGAACGATTTTCTACTCGGCTTGCCTTCCTGCTCTCTGAGAGCACTCGTCGACAACTCGGATAAGGGAACTGTGGAAGGGCATTTCAATCTCCCTACGTACAGCGGTACGTGCCATGTCGCAGCGGAGAGAAAACAGGCTGCCTACCTCGCAACGTTACGATCGACCACAGCACGTGCGGGATGGGAAAGATATCGAAAGTTGAAGAGGGAAGCGAAACGCATTTATAGACTGAAAAAGAAACAGGCCGAAATGCGTGAGTACGAAGAGTTTGATAAGCTGGCCGACGGGGGTAATGATCGAAAATTCTACGAAAAAATGCGGCGGCTTACAGGTTACTCTTGCAGAGCCCCCAAAAATGACACACAAAAATGGCACAACGCCATGAGAAGGCGAACCTGATTCCCCAATCGACGACGATGGAACAGACGTTCCATTGCCCGACCAGGAAAAAGTTCGAATAGCAATTACCCGCCTGAAGAACAACAAAGC